AGTGAGTGAGTGAGTGGGTGGATGGGTGAGTGGGTGGGTGAGTTAGTGAGTGGTGGGTGGGTGGCTGGGTGAGGGAGTAAGTGAGTGAGTGAATGGGTGGTACCTTGCGGTAGCGGCCGGGGGAGACGCAGAGCCAGCGGCGCAGCAGGCGCGGCGCCCTCTCGCACAGCAGCGCGCGCTCCACCTGCGCCACGAGGCGCGTCTGCTGCTCCAGCTGCACCAGCTCCGCCGTCGACTGCAGCCCCTGCCAGCCCGCACACAACACAGGAAAGCTTTTGTTTGGATGCATAGGAATTCTTTTTACTAACTGATGACGCATTTAACATATTTATCTTCTAATGGCATTAATAACAACAACAACAATAATAATAATAATAATAATAATAATAATAAGAAGAAGAAGAAGAAGAAGAAGAAGAAGAAGAAGAAGAAGAAGAAGAAGAATGATAATGCGTTTGATATTTTAGGGTCGTGTTAATTTGACTTCTGCCAGCTAATGGCCTTCCCAGGGCTGGGCCCTGTTTTTATTTATTACCTACGCGGGGTAAAGGAGGCATGTGGCGAGTACTACGTATTCCCACCACCGCACCTAGCTGACATGGCCTTCCTCACGTTTTTCATTCGTCACACCGCTACAAAAACTGAGACGATTTTTGTTACAAAGCAACAGCTTCATTTATGCCCCGGCCGGGAATAAAACTCGGATCCGACTCACAGAAAGTTAGCACGCTGTCCATTCAGTAGCCGATGGGATAATATTGATAATAATGTCAATGATTAATAAATAATAATAATAATAATAATAATAATAATAATAATAATAATAATAATAATAATAATAATAATTTACATACTGACCTGTATGTCGTGTACTGCTAAACCGACGAGTAGGTTCATTAACACAATGGTCACGAACAACACAAAACTCATAAACAGAATATGTGAGGTAATCTGCAACTTAATATTCTCTTTGAAAGTGTCTTCATAAAGAATATCGCCGGCCATCATGCTGGTAACTCGAACAATCCCAGTGGCTGGGTTGGAGAACGTGTCGATGCCTGGGAAGGCTGCGCAGAAAGCGAAGACGAAGCCAAGGAGAAGGAAAATATAGGCTGCCAGTGCTTTGAGGAACAAACGGAGCACACTCATGTACATTGAGACGTAGGCTTGAAACTGCGGCAAGTGCCCCACTATACGTGTCAGCATAAAATAGGCCAGAATGAGCGCTAGGACGCCGACGTGATCTTGAATGCACTTGCAGCTTGAGACGCAAGTTCCTAACGCTTCCATCACGATCCACACGATCACGGAAAGTTCCACGAGCCATTCAAGAACATTGTCCAGGTGCCAACAATACTCAATCCACGAGGCATAGCCCGAAATACTGTAAACTGCCCTCACAGCCTCTATAGAAGCCAGAAGACTTAAAATAACCATTAAATCGTAACTTAACGTGTCACTTTTATTGAGCCCTTTCGAATCCTTTTGAATCCTTACGGATCCTGTAAAATCAGTAGTATTGGAGACATTTTTTGCATCATATTCAGTATTTTTTGATTCCGATTGTGGAAGCGTATTGATCTCGGCAGTAGAGCGAGAGCTATTCAGGAGCTTTGATTCGTTAACATGATGCAACACATTCCAAAACGCAATGGAAGAACGCCGGTAAGAATCTTCTGTTTTGATTTCAGTTTCATTACTTGACTTGCAGTCTCTGAAATGACGCGCGTTTGATGAAAGGACGCACGCCGTTAACACAGAGACGAACAACAAGTAAAACAGTAGTTTAATGACATAGAACTTGCGAACCTTCTTCCATTTAAAATGGAGAAAAGCTCTGCACAGAGGGTGCTTCAGAATATCCTTGTGCCCCTCGTCGACAAAAGCTTTGAGATAGTCTATTTCTCCTGGCGAGCTGAACTGAAGCAGTGGTTTGAAGTTGAGGCTGACCACGACATCATCCTGCACTGCATGAGTATCGTTGACGAAGGCGGAGTCCAACATTGTAGTGCTGGCGTCGTGAATGGACACGGCAGCGTCCAGACGTTGGTGCAGAGCCTGAAACGTCATAATTATTAATATTATTATTAATATTATTATTAATATTATTATTAATATTATTATTAATATTATTATTATCATCATTATTATTACTATTATTAGTATTAGTATTGTCAGTACTATGTAGGCAACAAGGCAACACTATAAGAATTGTGAAGGTAAACACACAAAAGACTGTTTTGCATGACCAATTTGTATAAATTCGCAAGTGACAAAAAATTAAATATAAATAAGTAAAGTTATGCTCATAGGTATTTTAAATTATTTAGAAACGTTGTGTAAGGGTGGGGTTAAAGCTCATTATAATTCTTTAATAACACAAAGGAAGCCTTTGCATTAAGTTTGATAGTTACGTACTACAAGAGGACTAGGTCTTAGGGTATTATTCTCAGATTGGCCTGCTTATTTAATGCAGCTTTTGTCTTCCTTCCCCAATGTCACATAAATGTTAAAAACATACAAATAGGTCTACTTATTAATGTAGTTATTGGCATACTTAATGATCTTTCGATCTATTTTCTACCACCAATTATCAATCACCTACAAATCTATCGATCTATTTACCTATTTTATCTGTTTTATCAAACGACATAACAATCTATTTATCTGCATATTTAAGCTGACGGTACCTTGAGAGCGGCGGGCACCTTGCGCACGACGGAGGCCAGCGCGGACACGCCCCCCCGCGTGCGCGCCGTCACGTCCGCCCCGGCCAGCAGCAGCGCGCGCGCGCTCGCCGTCAGCTCGTTGTTGGCGGCCACGTGCAGCGGCGTGTACTCGTAGCGGTCGCGCGCGTTCACGTCGGCAAGCCGCTCGATCAGCAACTGCGTGATCTGCGGGGCACAACGCACCGACGTGGAGTTGTTCCTAGCGCTGGCGCAGCGTTCGTAACGGTACTTTCAGTACCGGCAGCGTATAAGCGACTCTGACAGTTCTCTCGCCACGTGCTGTGGTGCGTCATGTGACCTGCTCCGAAGCAATCAGTTTGCGGGAATTTGTTTACTTTCTCACAGCTATGGATCGGCGTTGCCGCTCATCTGAGTCACACGAAGACGCGGAGGCGACAAGGATCGGCTTTCACGAAATTTATAAACATGATTATACATATGTGTCATAGCCTGTCAGTAAGCGTTAATGATTTTATATTTAATATATCTGGGATGTAAGTGGTGTCATGTGCATAGTAATGTGTTGCGACTGCGCATTGAACTGTCAAAGTCCCTTACACGCAGCCGGTACTGTATTGGAAATTCTGTATATCTTTGTCCGTCTGCATGCGTTTTTTTCGTTTTATTCATGCCCCCCCCCCCTGTTCACCAGCCCTTAAATATGACCGTCAAATCATTCATTATCATTTAGATTGGCCGTCCCCTGTACGGACGCCTGACGGTTCACAAAACTGTCGCCTTCTCGTTCTTTATCTCTTTGTCCATCCATTCGTGTGTTCGTCAGACCGTCTATTGTCCCGTCCGTCTGGTCGTGTAAATTGAGGAAAGGGTCTAATAGGACTACGTAAACGTAGCATAATTCCAGACTATTGTGTAAATGCAACCTTCCGAACACCTGTGCACATAGAATCGGATCTGCAATGCAAGATGCACTATCTATCTTCAGTCGGTGCAGAAAATACAAATTATTCAGAATTTATAATATAGTTTATAAAAATTGTTACAAACAAGAAGACAAAATCATCTGACTACTTAAAAATGCCGTTTGGTCTTCAATTTCCTTAAAATTAAGAGCTGATTAAATGCAAGATCGCAGAATTCTAGCGAAAAACACAAGTATTTTAACACGTAAAAATGCATAAAACCTTCACCGAGCGACATCAGACACACGAATTTGAGGTAAGCTGCAATTGCGACACATTACCATGTTCAGACCACTCCCAACGTGACCGGCATAAAACGCAGGCAAACACTCAGCAGCGATCTCCAGCGACTTTCCATCTGCAATCGTTTATAACTTGACTCCTCACCTAGTGTGGGTCCCCCTCCGTCTCCCCGTGCCTCCGTCTCCCCGTGCCTCCGTCTCCCCGTGTCTCCGTCTCCCCGTGTCTCCGTCTCCCCGTGTCTCCGTCTCCCCGTGTCTCCGTCCCCCGTATCTCCGTCTCCGTCTCGCTCTCTCTCTTACCCTCCCTGCCCCTCCGCACGGAATGTGTATCATCGCACGCATAACGTGGTAATAACTTTTACTGTAACAGAAGTCGTGGTGATCGTTTCCCAAAGTATGACCCCTCCCTCTCACAAACAATTTTGCCCCAGTGCAATCAGAATTAAGAAGTGATGCGCCTCAAACTTCACTGAAATCAATCGCGTTCCGGGGCGGCTCATAACAGAATGAACTGTTTATGGAAGGTTCGGTTGGAATGGTGGAATTCAAACAATTTTTATCCGTGGGGGTCTCTAGGAAAGCTGCGCGCGTGGCTCCGTGGCTCGTTTGTTAGGGTACTGCCCCGACGTACGCGGAAAACTACCGATCAGAGCACACGTACGCTTCCGCGGCTCTAATCCATACATTCGCACTGCCCTGAGGAAGCCTGCGACATGTCAGGCAAAACGTCGGCACCCCAGCCAACGACGCGGCGTCTCCCGGATAGCGATTTACCGATCAGAGCAATCAGCCGCTAGGATTCTCCTCCAGACAGCGACGGAATTCGAATTAGCTGACAAGCTAGTGTCCAAACTCGTGCCGCCGTCGGGCCCCCTGGCCAGAGGGACCGCAGCTGCATCCGTCGATGTCCCGGTGGGCAAGAGCGAGAGCGCTTTACCTCGGGGCTCTGCAGCGCGCGCAGGTAGTGCAGCGGCGTGCGGTCGTCGTCGTCGCGCGCGTCCACGGGGCAGGCGTCGGGCGCGTCGAGCAGCGCGCGCACGCAGCCGGCGGAGCGCGCCTGCGCGGCCAGGTGCAGCGGCGTCTGGCCGCGGGCGTTGCGCGCGCCGGCG